ATAACGATAGCAAACAAACTGTTTATTTGTATTAATATGAATGGTACCATATTGGCAGATATCTCAATAACTAGATAACTTAATAAAACCTATCAGAAGTACCTATAATTATATATGTATAGTTTATGTACCTATAAAGAAAATATCGAAACCCAATCAGCTGATCGTCAGATAATACTTTCTTAGATTTACATTTACTGTATGAATTTAGTTAAGTATGGTTAATATCTCATACGTAGAAATGTTCCGTTTAGATACAATATACTATACTAGAATTGCCCGCGACTCCGCCCGCGTTCAGGTGACCAAAAGCCCAATTTTTAGGTTTTACATATCAGTATCTTACATTGCAGTTTTTGTATTTTTCTCAGAAACGAGATATTTTCCCGCGGTAAAAAGTATCCTATATGTTGACCCGGATAACCAGCTATCACCAGACCAAAATTCATCAAAATCCCTCCAGTGGTTTTTCTGTGTTGCGGCAACAGTCAGACAAACAGACAAAAATTCTAAAAACTATAGATTCGGCCTCAATATTAAATATTTTTTGGAAAATCTTATTGAAATAGACATTATACAGAGGCCGATTCTATCGTTTTTAGAACTTTATTGTACCAACGACACGCCGTGATTTTTGCATTAACTTAGTTTGACAGTGTCGGTCTCTATAAGAAGGTCTGCCTACCTATGCATAAAGCTGTTTGTGCCGATGTGGCTGGTTTACTTGGTTGGCTTTGCTTTGCCTCAATCAGTAAAGTTTTTATGGCTTTTTTCTACATTATATTGAAATTCAGACTCTAAAGAACTGAAACGGGAAGGTGAAAATTCTATGGGAAACAATGCTTTACGGATGATAGTTAAAAACAAAAAGCAGCCCAACAAAGACGGGGTCGGCCGCTAGCTGTTGTCTATAGATAATTGTAACATTTTTGTCAGCCTTGGAACTACTTTCCCAAAATAAACTTCTATAATCTAGAATTTTCGTTTTCATATTTATTCAAAATGGATGAGAGTTATTGAAAATTGTTTCAAAAGAAAATTGTGCAGCATAAAAATTTTTATTTTCATAGATTTTATGATGTTACTAACGATTTATAGTGCGAATAAGCACAAACAGATCTAGCCCACGGGAACCGTTCATTTTCCGGGATGAAAAGTAACCTATTGTTTGACCGGCAATATAAGGTATCAGCATGCCAAATTTTACTAAATTAGGTGCATAAGTTGTTGTGTACTAAGCTATAAGTATAGTAACTTATAGTTACTATAGTTTTTTAACTATCCCACGAAAACTCTTTAATTTTCTGGAATGAAAAGTATCTTAGATGTTGACCGGGGATATAAGGTACTACCATGCAAAATTTCATTTAAATCGGTTTAATAGTTTCGGAGATTAGCCCGTACAACAAACAGACAGAGAAACAAAAAAGTTGAAAAAAAACTGGATTTGTTCTATTTCTCTTCTTTCGGGATGTAAGAAGAGAACTGACTTGGTTTTTAGCATTTTTCTTCTAACCTCTACAGTTTTATTATATTTATAGATAGAATCTATCTGAATTCGGACCCGGTAAATGCGTCGCCGTTGTTGAATTTAGCATTGCCGCTAAATAGAATCACCGCAGTTTTTAGGGTAAAAATAATGACAGCCCAAGTGTAATCAAAATGTTAATTTGCTGTTTTAGTCATTGTTCTACAACACGATATAACAAGGAATAATAATGAAAACACATTTTTAATAAATTACATGTTAATTAATGATGGTACCTCAACGACCGCGAACACGCCGGCTTTACAGTTAACAATAGATTTCTTAGTTTAATTAATTTCTTAGAAATTTTCCTGGAGGTGTTATAATTATGATTATTGAGATTGTAAATAATCATCTGTGATCTGGGTAATATGGAAGTTAGATTACCAGACAGCACTTCACAAAAAAATGACATGACAAAATTGCAACACTAACAGATACAGAGACAGACAGACAGAGAACAGAACTAACAGATACGTTTGTGGCCACAAACTATATAGAAATTTTACGCATGTTTGTGGCAGTCTTCTCCATTCTAGAGAACATTGGCGAAGTAATCTGTCCCCAGCGCTGGATTTAGGGGCACTTGGGGCTAGTGCCCAGGGCGGCAAATTTTCAGGGGCGGAAAAATTCGGAGGGTGGGAAAATAAATGCTCTTCGCGTTTTCGATAAAAAATGCTTTTTTTTATTTTCCAAAAAATTCATAACAAAAAAAGATTAACTAGTAGGTACATTTTTCGAAAAATTCATATCACTTATAAATTATTTTTTTGTTTATTTAAAAAAAAATATCGAAAGTTTATCGCCTATTATCGATATTTTGCATTTTATTTATGCAACATTTCGATAATAGGTTTTTTTTTGGTATTTCGATAATGAAATGCCAAATAAATGATAAAAATAGTGCCCAGGGGCGATCATAAGGTTGAATCAGGCACTATGATTGTCCCCAACTGACACGCCTAAAAGCCAAATAACAAGGAATTGAATTGAATTACGTTTGTGCCACGTATATAGTATTATGTGATCTGTGGTAGCACTGTGTGTAAAAGCAGCCTATTTCAAATTTCACTTAAATCCGTCTAGCCATTTCAGCATGTTGGAAATTAGGCAAATATACACAAAAAAACTTTTGCATTTATAATATTAGCATACTGTAAATAAACAGTGTTAATTAAATATCTAATTAATAAATAAACAATAGAACAAATAAAATATGAACAAAGCATTAATTTTGTAATGTTTGTAAGTTAGCATTGTCATTGTAAAATCCGCAACAGAAAAATAATTTTCTCATAAAATAAATATCTAACTAATGTAAATTTACATTCACCTCAGCGTGGCGTGTTCTTCTTTTCAGATGCATCATGCAGCGGCGCAAAAGTTCAATGTCAACAACATTATGTATATCTATACTAATATTATAAAGAGGAAAAGTTTGTGAGTTTGTGACGTTTCAGGGGGTAATCTCTAGATCTACTGAACCGATTTAAATGAAATTTGGTAAGAAGATAGTTTGAGTACTTTTTATCTCGGAAATCATCCCTTTAGGGGTGAACATGGGGATGAAAGTTTGTATTGGGAAGCAAGCTATATATAAGCTGTATAAGTTACTATAGTTTTTTAACTATCCCACAGGAACTCTTTAATTTTCCGGAATAAAAAATACTAAAAATGTTGACCGAGGATATAAGGTACCACCATGTAAAATTTGTTTAAATTGATCCAACAGTTTCGGAGATTAGCGCGTACAAACAGACAGAGATTTTTTTTTAATTTGTTCTATAATTCTCTTACATCCCCCTGACTCGGTTTTTAGCATTTATTTTCTACTAGCAAAACCTGCGGCTTCGCTCACGCTAAAACTACAAAAAAAACTAAAAAAGTAGGTTTCATATAAATTTCCATCCCCTATTTTACCGCTTTATAAGATGAACTTCGAAAAATGCTAAAACACGTATTTATTTAATTTTATTGAAGAGCATTAATATCAAATTTCAAGTAATTGTGATCACAAATAATTTTTGGGTTGTATCCAGGTTGTATAAAGTAGCCTAAAATGTCACTCTTCAGCCCTCCAACTATCTCCATACAAAAAATCATGCCAATCCGTCACTCCGTTTCGACGTGAAAGAAAGACAAACAAACAAACAAACAAACAAACAAACAAACAAAGACACTTTCACATTTATAATATTAGTATGGATGTACATTCGATCATTTTTACTATTGTTTTATTGTATGTATAGACAACGTCGAAGTAGAAAAATAATTTGATGAAAAAATCTATAGAATTAATATAAAATAGAAATTTCTATACAAATAAATAAAATTGAAGTGTCAGTTTGTAATGTCAAAATAAACCTTTTTTACTAAATAATAAATATGTCCATATGAAAGTGGTAGACATACGGTACACAGACGATTCATTGAGTTGTCTGTGATAAACCTACTTATAAGGAAAAAAAACGAAACGAAAAGATTTTGATGAAATTTTGTATGACGATAGCTGGTTATCCGGGTCAACATTATAGGGAACTTTTTACTGCGGGAAAATATCTCTGAGAAATCTATAATAAAGTGAAAACGTAAAAACGCTAGTATTGTTATAAAAGTATATTTAATATAGGTACAGAAATAGAAGTCTCCATAGACACGAAGTAATAATTCTTCTATTAGTATTATTGTTATAATAGCTATAATTCTTGTAGATACATACATACCTACCGCCTACGCAGGGATGTTGTTACAAAAGATATCGACATCGCCTGTGGCACAAAAATTCTCTGAAACTTAAAAGCTATTAGGAATGTTAGGTGTTTTTATTATTATATTAATAAAAATGTTTCAATTTATTTGTTGAATTTTAAAAATGAACTTATTCGTGCATAAAAAAATTAACCCAAAGCTTAGAATAATATTATTATCATTTACCATCTAAAGCTCAGAGCCATCTAGTACGGATTAAAAATACTATTTAGAAGTAAGAAACGTATCCAGTGTTGCTATTAAATATCACGATTATGAAATTGTTTACAATTTGTAACAAAATCTAATTAAAACAAATAAATAAGTTTTAAATAAAATTAACCTTTGAATAATATTTTAATGCTACATTTACATTTAAACATTAATTTATAATTAATCTTATTTACTACACTGTAGTGTAGTAATAAAAATATATCATATATAGTAAACTTATTAAATCATTTATAATTATAAATAATCATTAAAAATATTATCTTTTATTATGATTATTATTTATGAAATTTAAACTGTATTTTTTGAATCATTCTTGTATAGGAAACGTTACATGGCAATACATATAAAGTGAGCCATCGCCCTGTTAACGGTGTCATGGCGGTTTGACTTGTTGAAGGGTTTTTTTGCAATAATTTACTAGTTAATGTGCTTTTTAGCAGTGTGATCTTTGATTTCAGTTTATTATATCAATATATCAAAATAGTTAATAATGCGCGAATACAAAATAGTCGTGCTAGGTAGCGGAGGCGTGGGAAAATCCGCCCTGACAGTACAATTTGTACAAGGCATCTTTGTGGAGAAATACGACCCCACCATCGAAGACAGCTATCGGAAACAAGTGGAAGTTGACGGTCAACAATGTATGCTCGAAATTCTTGACACAGCTGGCACGGAACAGTTTACTGCTATGAGAGATTTATACATGAAGAACGGCCAAGGATTTGTGTTAGTGTACTCGATCACAGCACAATCGACATTCAACGACTTGCAGGACTTGCGAGAGCAGATCCTGCGAGTGAAAGACAAAGACGACGTGCCTATGGTTTTGGTCGGCAACAAGTGCGACCTGGAGGCGGAGCGCGTGGTCGGTAAGCAACAGGGCGCGAATCTTGCGAATCATTTCAACTGCGTTTTTATGGAGACCTCCGCGAAGGCTAAAATCAGTGTTAACGAAGTGTTCTACGATCTAGTGCGACAAATCAACAAAAAATCTCCCAAGGAAGACACCAAAAAGAGAAACAAAAAGCCCTTATCATGTCGACTGCTGTAAGGACGGCGGCGCTTCCGAAACACTAGGTATTAAATATTTAATAATTTGAAAGACTTCTATGTACCCGGATTTTGCTCTCAGTTCCAAAAGTTAGTAATTAGGTCAGGTGAGCATGGTTGGTTATTACCCCAAGCATTTTGCAAATGTGCATTTGTTGAGCTGATGTGATCAAGTGCTATAAATGAGTGAAAAATGCATCACAGATCTTCTCCCTTGATGTCCAATTCCAACCTGTGTCGAAAGTAGATGTCTACTTCCCGGTCTGTATATTTATATGATTAGTGTTTTATTTGAGGATACATACAAAGATTCTGTGTGTGTTTTACTCTCAATATTCCATTTTGTATAGTGTGAATGACGCCATGTTCAGAAGTTTACAACTTGAAAGTCCTACAAACTTTGTGATTTCTATCCATATAGATGGTTATAATAAAAATGATAGTATTAAATATAAATGCCTAAAAGTCTTTGCTCTTGTATTTTTACTGAATATAACAATCTAACCAGTTTTGTGAGAGATAATAAATTATGTCATTATTGTTAAAATTTTTGCTTAGTTCAGACAATGAGTAATTATAGTGAACAGGACTGTAATTAAATAAATTATTTGATTCTATAAATCGTGAGTAATAATAAAAAAAACACTACCAAGGTTCTATACTGAACCTTGTCCCGAGATAGCTTTAAACATTTTGCACAATTTTGTTTTAGTTAAAACATAGTTTGTTAAAACCATCTTTGTTATATTGATTTGTTTTTGTAAAACAAATTATAGTACGAGTAAGCTGTAGGTTATGTGTAGTTGATACATTGTTTGTGAGTTATCTTTGATGCGGGAATGGCAACATCTGTACTTTATGAAGTTATACAAGGGAAGTCTTGTAGCTGATTTTTTAGAATCCATAATTTTTAGATTTTGAAGTGTTAGGTCTGTTTGACTCTTGTTCTTAAATAAATTAAAAGCAATATTTCTACAAACTTAGTTCTTATGAACTAGATATAAGACGTGTCTCGGTAGTATGTCCTGCCATAATAAGGACAGAACAATTTAATGGCGCTGAATAGAAGCAGTAAGATGTAGAGCTGTGAACAGTGAATACTTTTGTCATTTTAATATGTTAGATAATGTTCTCATGAACAGTGCGATTTGGCCAAAATATTTATTGTATCTGTCTGAACTAAGCAGATAGTTATAGCATTTATCATAAATAAATGATTTGATTTAATAACTTCTGAGTGGCCAGAATGTGAGTTTATCTGGGACCTAGAAGGGTCCCAAGTTTGTGCCAGTGGGCCTTAACCAGTTAATAATGTTTAATTATTAAGATTACAATTAAATTTTTTCAGATATATTATTGTCTTGTTATATAATACAAATGTATCGGAAAAGTTAAATGTGCAACACTGTATAGGACTCTTATAACTTTTGAACAAATTTTAGTGAGCCTTAGGTGAGTGCACCCCACCATGTAGTGTCCTGTCCGAGACTTCCTTGATATGAGATTAAAAAGTCTAAAAAAAAAACTATCGTTATTGTAAATGGAATAAAGTTTTATGATTACTGGCTCATTTTAATGTGAATTACCAGCATATGTGTTGCTAATATGAAAAACTTTGTTAAAATAATAATTATAATAGGTGTTCAAATATTGTTACGGTTTAGATGTTTCCTCCATTGTCATTTCTGTTAATTAAGATTACTGCACAAGGATATTGGTATTGACTTAATCTGAGTTCAATTATATTTTTATATATATATCGTGCGAATTAAGAACTTGTATATTTTTATCTTTTCAATCAATAATCGACATGTACAATTAATTTCTCTTTTTCTTTTTGCAAATTTATGAATAAAACCAATTTTAAATATTCATGTTTTGGGTTGTGTATTCTTCGCTCGCTCGCGAGTGTGTCGCTGTCGATTTGTTCTGGAAGCGGTGAGTCACGCCGGCGACGGCAATTTACGAGGAATTTTAATGGAATTCAATTAAATAAAACAACAGTACACCATCTACTACTATTTTATTGTAATGTGTAAAAAAAAGTTTCATAAAAACGTGTACACAGTATAACTAAAACTACGAAATTCAAATAATGGCAGTGTGACGTGGCGGGCGTATGTCGATATTCTAGTAACATAAGAATTGACACAGTCCAATGGAAACGAACACAATACGCCTTCCTCGACTATGACCTATAAACAAACAAACCAAGCGTTCTAATTATAATATTACAAATCAAGTGTTCGATTACGCTGCAAGCTACGCCGCATCCCATACGTGTAACAAGGTCTCTTGCAAAGATCCAGTTCACCATGGGACACGTATCACTTAAAAAAAAAACCATGTTATAATAATCATATTTTATACGAAGCGTGGGAGCTACATCTACATACAATCGCTATAAAACTTCCATGCTCTCTACGATACGATAGTGTAATGAATAATTTTTGTGTAATTCCTTATCACCGCACCCATGTTCCTGACATTTATCAACTCCAGTATATTGGGGCCGTTCATCCGAATGCCGTTGCATATTTTTAAAAACGTAAACATGAATGTAGTTAGTTATCATTTTATTAACTATAGTCTAGACTAAATAAATTTAAAATTCTGAAATGGTGATAAAATCATTTCATTATACTCATATATTTTATTCAAATTCTTCATTATAAAGTCGCGCAAATAGGTTTTTCCAGTGAGACTCGCTTTACACACATTCTGAGTAGTTAGCTACAAATATAATGATCTACGTAAATAATTCCAAAAAATCGGTACACGTTCATTAACGCTGTTACAAATTAATACAATTATTATCCTCATCTGTTGTTCTCAACATGACGTCGTCATAATGATAACTATAAATAAATGAAGCAAGTTTGACGAGGCGGAAAAGTTGTTTTACATACCTATAACAGGCTGAGGAATTTTTAAGGTGCTCTATATTTTGTTCCAAAAATATTTTTGGAACCGAGACTTGTTTTTGGGCGTTATACCTACAATAAATATGAATGATATTAACACCTAACCACCCACATGTTCAATTTGTCTTATTAGTTTTTATTGGAGGGGTGTTCACTGAGTCTAGGGTCATCGAAGGCCGCCTACATGAGAGGGGCCAAGTGGGATGCTTCAAAAAAATTCGAGATAAAAAAGAGCAACATTTTTATAAAAGGAATTCCGATATGGAAATATGTATGACGTAATATGTATAAAAGAAAGTCGCCCCAAATATGGCGGAGTATTGGTAGCGGTATTTTATCTTTGGGTCGAGGTGAAAATAAGATACAAAAGAGTTCACATTTGACATAAATATTAAAAAAAAAACAAACTATTCTAGCGGACTGCGGACTAGACTGGTTAGTTGAGTCATTGATAAAAAAAATCGTTTCCGCACAACTTCCGGCTAAGCGAAGTGACCTTAACACCGACTCGTGACTCATCATTTGAATCACAACACGACTAAAGATCAAACTAAGAATTTCTCGAGATTTTTGATGACAAATTGTACGGTTTTGTTTTGAAACCATTTTAATATGTACCGGAAATTGTTAATAATTCTGCCGGAATAATAAAGAATTGGCCCTATCTAAATAATTGGTCAAAAATGAGTTAAATCCAGATTCGGAATCAGCAAAAAAGCAAATGCTACTTGATGGTCTTACTCATACGGCTCATATCTTATGAATTCGGAGATACCATAACCATTTTAATCGTAACTACTTATAAACTACTACTAAGTACTAAAATAAAACTTAAAATATCCCGAAATCAACTTGGACGAAGTTGAAGCCTTCTTTTTTATGACGGCAGAATTAGAAATTTAATAATGCGAATTATTTATATTTCTTTCAAAAAACAATCGTCTTTACTAATAGATATAAATTATAACTATATTATAGTTTTTAAGACTAATTGTGAGATAGTAAAGGGCTGGAGTAACATTACTTTTATCCAAGTTAAATTCTTTATTATTGTATAAGCCGTGCATCAATTCATATATTTATAACTTCGAAAATGGAATAATATACAAATATAAATTTTCGAAATTACCTATCAGAAATTTATTACTCTTAAAATACGTCTTATAAGGAACTCGAACTAAATTAAATTTCTTATGTTAAATGTGAAATTCTTATGCTTATGTTAAAGCTGTGCGTTATTTGTTTCTAACTTGTGAACGTTTTAAATCTATACCTACATATAATAAAATTGTAACTAAGCCGAATCTGTACATTAAATATTTTTTTTGGAAAATCTTATTGAAATAAACATTATTATCAATACAGAAGCCGAATCTATAGTTTTTAGAATTTTTGTCTGTCTGTTACGGCATCACAGAAAAACCACTGAAGGGATTTTGATGAAATTTGGTATGATGATAGCTGGTTATCGGGGTCAACATATAGGATAATTTTTACCACGGGAAAATATCATTTCTGAGAAAAAATACAAAAACTGCAATGTAAGAGTATACTAATATGTAAAACCAAAGAATTTGGTTTTCGGTCATCTGAACGCGGGCGGAGCCGCGGGCAATGCTAGTTAGTTATAAATACATACATAGTGCCTTTTAGAAACATAATATTTGAAAACTTCTTAAAACGAGTGTTATTTAGGCCATATCTCATTCATTTCCTAAAAATCAATGAACACTTGACATTTTTAACAAGCGCTCTATTTAAATTCTCTTCAGTTGCCAAAGTTTAAAACGTGTTAATGAATAACAATGGACAAGTAAACAAATCAGGCCATGTGCAATACTGACCTACTCTTGGGGTCGTAATTTGCATAAAATAACTTTTTAATCGAAGCCAACTCACATCTGAACTACTTTGCATTAAAAGCTTGTTTATATTAATTTTATATTTAGTTATGAATTGAAAATTTGTAAAAAACTTGAATCTCACTCAACGCTTTAAAAAAACTAACACTATAATATATGAAAATGCATAGACACAGAAATCTTAATAATAAGGTTACCTTATTATTAAGATTTCTGTGTGCATAGATAACACGAAATATAGAACAAACAATAAACAGTACAAAAAGAATCCGTAGGTACATTTAAAACGGACAAGACTGATAATTTAAACGTCACTTCTACCATAGTATGTAACTGATATGATAATAAATATGTTGGGACATTAACACAGCACAATCTAGTTCCACGGTAAGCTACGAACGAGGCCTGTGTTATGGATACCAGATAGTTGATACACTACACATATATAACTTTAAATACATACATGTTATAAATATAAACACGTATGATTGGAGTACAATCATTCGTGCTCATCACACAAATGAATGCCTCCAGCAGGACTCGAACCCACGCCCGCTGGCACATCAATTACGGTCACTACAAACTGGACCAAACGTGTCGTCAAAATGATAACACGCTGATAATATTTTAAATATAAAGCTAAATAAATAATAGGGATTAAAATACATTTTAGTATCTGATATGACGAGATTGAATTGTTTTTATGTAATACTAGTTACCCAAAGTGACTTGCATTTATACTAGCGACTCACTCTCGCTTCGCTTTGGATTTGTCCTTAGACAGAAACATCTATCCCACGGGAAACTTATTTTTTTTCCGGGATAAAAGCAACCTATGTGTTATTCAAGACTATAATCTATCTCTGTGTCAAATTTCATCCAGATCCGTTCAGCCGTTCTAGCGTGAAAGAAGAATAACAAATATCCATGCAAGCTCACAAACTTTCACATTTATAAATTATAATATTAGTATGGATGTGGATGTACCCATAAAATAGGTTAAATTAGTTATAAATATATTACCATCAGAACCCGCGGCTTCGCTCGCGCTAAAACTACAAGAAACTCCAAAAAGGTAGTTTTCATACAAAATTTCATCCCCTATTTTATGGGATGAATTTTGAAAAATGCTAAAACACGTATTTATTTAATTATATTATTCATCAACATAATTTTTTTCCAGTTCCTTAAACAACATATTATAAATAAAATATTTGCATGTGATAAAAAGTTGTATATGTCACTTTCCAGCCCTCCAACTATCTCCATACAAAAAAAATGAAATCAAACCGTTGCTGTGTTTTGACTTAAAAGATGGACAAACAAACACACCTTCACATTTATAATATAAATTTATAGTATTCACAAGAAAACCTAAATAATGTTAACCATTTCTCTGTCCCATGAGTAGAGTATATATGAACATTTCGATAGTTTAATTATTGTGTCTATTTTGCGGACAGTTAATCTGTTAATAAAAAAATTAATACCGAACCATACAAACAAACAATCTTATGACTTATCTTAGGTTGCTTCCCTATATAGACTTTCATCCCAATTTTCACTCCCTTAAAGGATGATTTTCGCAATAAAAACTATCCTGTGTCCTTCCCAGGGTCTCAAACTATCCTTTTACCAAATTTCATCTAAATCGGTTCAGTAGTCTCAGAGCCTATTCGGTACAAACAAACAAAAAAAAAATCTTTACTCTTTATAATAATATTAGTATAGAAGTACATTTAGATAAGATTAGTGAGGATCTCTCGGAATGACAAACAGCAATAATTACCATTTAGTAAATTATGAGTAAAGACATTCTCAGTGTCAGATATACATCTACTTCCATTTTAAACAAAGATGCCTGTTGTTATGCTAATATACATACATATTCATTTTAATAATTATTAAATAATTTACTACAGTGAAAAAAACAATGGTACTAAAAATTTACTATATAATAGTTTCATACAAAATGTGTTTGTCGTTCAAAATAAAATATGCTAAGGCCAATAAGGCACTTAACAACTGTTCAAGCAATATTTAAATTTGATATTCATTATACATTTATTATTGTCATATCCAAAGGCCATTCTATAATACAATAGAACATATAAAGCTGGATAGACTAACAAGTTGTTTTTATAAAATTTAAATAAAAAAACGAAATATAAAAAAAAACTACTAAAATAACATTTGACTAAATTTCAGTCCATTTGCGTTATTACCTTTTGAGACCTATGAAATAAAATTAAAAAAAAAAAACAGTGTAAAAAAACTAGAGATCCATGATATATCTACTGATAACTAACTAATAACATATTTTTTGAATACTTCCATATTTTCAGGTCTACATACTACATTTGGTGCGTCTACAATAATGTGCTCCTGAAAATGTTGCCATAAACTGTAAAAAGTTTTTATATTGGCAACACTGTTTTTGTAGATATTTATTCTTAGATGCAATCTCACATTACAAATATTATATAAAAAATTATTTCTAATAAATAGTAACAAACTTGTAAGTACATAATTACATACTAATGACTAGTGCAAAAGTGGTCCTTACATTGGTACAAAGTCAAGTCTGACACTTGAAATGAAAAATATTATCGCAGATTAAAATCTACAATACGAAAGTGTTTTTGCAAGGCTTTTAGATAAATGGAGCATAAGTTACTCATAGACAAAGAAAGTGAACTGTTTCTTTGGTAGCCGTCAGCTAAAAATGGCGTAAAGGTGCGACAGAGACAATGAATGTGTGGCCAGAAGTATTCTGTATTCATTGAAATACGATTAATGAAGATAGATATTTATAACCATTTTACATTCCATTTAAAAATCCAAATTGGAATAAAAGACAGGTATTGGCCGCACGTTCGCTTTCCTCTTTCTAGAGATTGGTCAGTTTCATGACAGTATTACACAGTCTATTCTCTATGTCTATGAAGTTACTTCACCAATATGTTAAAATCATGTATACTACTTACTACATATAGATATTTCTTTAAATATTATTTAATCTGTGATAATATTTTAATACAACCTGGTTATAGATACACGCAAAAACTACATTGTATATTATAAATTTAAAAACTAAACTAAGAACACAATTTATATATTCTATTTAGTTATCCAAATAATAAATAACATAATAACAAAAATAAATAAATCTTTTTTACTTCGGTCAATACATACTATATTATCAGTCAAATGACCAGATGATATAAGATTAAGGCAAATATGGTCTATAAGAAATTTTGGTAAAATATATAAATATTGAATAAGTAATTATAATATGAACTTTTATTAATTTATTGATTACAAAAATTTTTATGTGTTTGAAAACCTATAAATTGTATTAAAAATTTCATATTACTAATGTTTATATATATTTGTTTATAATTTTTGTGAATCTTTTGAAATGCAAGTTAGGCTTTTCACAGACGACAACGTCAAAATCGTGAAAACACTAATCTTATATGCAAATATCTTACTAAAACAATGGATAACCATTGAAAAATACTATTTCCTTCTAAGGAATTACAAGGTGATACGCAGAATAATGGCTTCCAATAATAATTTAAATTACAATTTTTTTAATAAATTGTGAATAAACATACAAATATTTAATGTATGAAACTTAACTCTGCTTTTATGGGCTTAAGAATTTACCCAGTATAATGTACCAACGTGGTTATCAGTCAGTCAAAATTGGCTATTGGGACCACATTGATATGTGGCCATACAAAAATCAATTTACATAAATAAAAAAAACCCGACGAACATATCATTAAAATCGATTCAGCCGTTCAGTAATTACGAGGGAACATACGATCGGACATACATGCAGGCCAAACACAACCCTCCTTTGGGCTTTGCCGCAGTCGGGTAAAAAAGAATGCAAAAATGAAAAACCAGTACGATGATATTATGATTAAGTACGAAACTATTAAAAGTTATAATGATCATCAAAATGTGTACTTCCCACATGTAGTTCTTACTACATTTCCTTTATCGAAAGACATACATATTTGTACATATTAAAAAATCATATTTGACTGACTTCAAAAAAAGAGCAGATTTTTTATGTGTGATGCACAATATCTTCGATAATTGCGAATCGATTTCTATGCTTTTTCTTCTACAAATAATGCACCAACATGACCAAAACATACATTTCATGAAGTTATTTCTCCAGACAAATCAATCATTGCTTATTTATTGGCGATGATTTGGACATTTTATTTAGAGGAATCAAAACTATCATTGAGCGGTGGCAGACTCTGTGTCAGAGTACTGTCCAGTTTTCGTGCTTCATGCTCCAGTGTGTAAGAGTCCAGGGCAGGGTCCTGTAACAAGAAAACATTAAATTATTTTGTTATAATCTGACTATTAAGGCAGCATTTTTTGCCAAATATAGAAGGGACACGATAACACACCAATTCCCACTATATAGATAACACTACAATTATGGGGTCTCTAGGATGAGATAAAACTCAATAACTATACACGACCTCATCCAAGAAGGAACCCATGGTCGTACCCAGAATTCCGGGCCATACATACAAACCACTCAACCATTAAAGCAGGGCGATTCCCAATTTATTTGGCCATGGAACCCTAATGGATCATATTTTTTTTGATATAATTACTAAACTGATTCTGTTGTAGTTAGAATACTTCCTGGTTTGACATAAAAGAAAAGACCATAAATGAAAAATATCAATATTGATTGTACAAAAAATATAACTCTTGGATGAAACTTAGAATCCCTGTTACCCTTTAACGGAACCCTAGGGGTTTCGCGGACCATCATTTGGGACGGCTGATCTAGGAAACCTGTACAAATCTAGTATGGAGGGTAGAGATAAGAAGAACCATCTTATATGGAAAGTTGATAAAGTGTCAACTTGTAAGCGGTAAATAACAATTCAATAAGCTACCAGAACGGCGCTAGCGTGAGTAGCTGATATTAATTTAGCAGTTGTAGACAAAATGAATTGTGCCAGGTTGAAAAATATAATATTTTTGGGTGACTAGAGCATTTAATGAAATTGTAGTATGCAAAACCTCATCTATTTCCTTATCCAAAAATAAGTTACTAAATATAACCTATTAAACTACTTTGAGATAATGTAATACTACTTTAATAGCTATGGCGCTTTTATTTAAATTTAAACATATGCTGCAGCGCCACCTTAATTATTATAACTAACGCATTTCGACGGACACTTTTTCATTACAGAGATAGTTCTCCTTACCTGTACCCTCAACAGTACAATTTGACGTAATTATGCAAAACGGATCCCACCCAGCACACGAAAACCGTTTTTTGAGTTACTGTCATAAATGGCACCTACATATCAACTTATATACAGAAAATAGATAAAACACCCAATATTTAAGAGGAACTTAAAAAAAACTAGTCTTGTTATTTTAATATACCTACTAATTTTACTAAAAGTCCTATAATCTGTTATCTCAAAACGTAAGTTTTATCGGTTGGATCTATTTTGCATAGCTACATCCAATCGTAGTACATACACAGCGCCCTACCTGTGAGACGGTGCGCAGCGAGTCGCCGAGCGCCGAGCGCAGGCGCTGCACGTCGCGCGCGGCGCGGCCGCTGCGCGCCACGTACGCCTGGCGCCGCCGGATCTCCGCCGACAGCTGCGTGCGCAGCTGGCTCAGCTGTGGGTGCAACGCACATGTTGCATTATGTTCATGTTATAATCTATACATATAATAAAATTATAACTAAGCCAAATCTGTACATTAAATATTTTTTGGAAAATATTATTGAAATAGATAATATTATCGATACAGAGGCCGAATCTATAGTTTTTAGAATTTGTGTCTGTCTGTCTGATACCGCATCACAGAAAAACCACTGGAGGGATTTTGATGAAATTTGGTATGGTCATAGCTGATTGGTTATCCGGGTCAACATATAGGATATTTTTTACCGCGGGAAATTGTCTCATTTCTGAGAAAAATACAAAAACTGCAATGTAAAAGTATATTAATATGTAAAACATAATAATTTGGTTTTTGGTCATCTGAACGAGGGCGTAGCCGCGGGCAATGCTAATTATATATTTGTAATATATACATATTTAAAGTTATAGATGTGTGTTTGTTACTATTACCCTGTAATGGTTTATGAATTTTTAGAGAAATTCTGATAGGATAGAAGGATATAGCTTTTGTCCCTACCGTTAGTTTACGGAACTAAAAGTAACTGATAAACTCACTATTTAGTCGGTGTATATTTTTGGGTTTATCGATTTGTAGACTACTGCATAAGTTACACGTATTACCGTTAAACTTCATAATACATGTATAACATCGTGCGTAATGACTTAGGCCTGGTGAAGAACTACGGTCTGATTTCCCAATAAATTACATAAAGATCAATAAACTAACATCGTCCCACGTTCATTCCTTCCAAAACCACCAACCATGATGACCAAACACAAACACATAAACATACCTGGTTTTCCAACCGCATAATCTGCTGCCGATGGCTGGCCTCGCGCGCCTCCAGCAGGCGCTCCGCCTGCAGCGCCGCCTGCCGGTACTCGTCCACGTCCTGCCGGCCGCCGCCCGACGACAGCTCGCTGAAGTAGCGGTTGCGGGCTATAGATAACTCCGACTCCTGGGAATATGTAATAAAAAAAAACCTTTTATTTCCAGTTTTACAATTAAATTTAAAAACAAAGGCAAAGATTTAACTACTACTTAATACTGCTACTAATATTAATACAGCTATATTATTACAATAAAAGGTATGAGATTTAATTATTCTGTTATAAAAATATTTGTTTTGTTTTGAGTAGCTAGGTAGGTAGGTACAAGTCTTTTATTATTATTCCACTGGAACCCCTCTTAGGTGAAGGCCTCCTTCACTGTGTGGCATTTTTTTAATATCATCTTCCCATCTAGTAGCAGTTCTACTGTACTTTCCCTGCTGGTAGGGGAAGACCATTCACTCCTGGGAATATATATAGACAATTATTGACACTTGTATTTGTATATTGACCTAGCTTGGACGGCGTTCAAACAACTATAAACTTTTATGTTGATCCGGATCTAAAAAAAAATCTATTCTTGAAGTGAATTCTTGAATGTTTTCATTAATCAATCGAAAAAAAAATATTTTTCACAAATTTTTGTTTTTTTTATATGTTAAAAATTCTTCCCCCCAAGCTAAGAAAAAAAATTTTTTCGCTCGACCCTAACCTAAGCACTATAATCAACTAGACCTAGCAACATTATTCAGGACAGTTTTTCATTTAACTAACCTTATCAGCCAGTTCCTTCTCCAATCTACGTATCTTCATTTTAAGCTCTCGATTTTCCAGTTCAAGCAAACTGAACTCAGTGCCATATGGCTTATCTTTGCACGGCACTTCTTTGTAGTCCTTGTAGCCGCGCGAGTCTTTTGTCGAATCCGCCCCTAAATAACAAAATATTTACATGTATAATGAAAATATAACACACATTATTAAATTGGCGCTCTGGATTTGAGTGAAAATGAATACGAATCGCGTGTTAAAACTAGTATTCCTATATAACTTGCTATAAAGTTTTGGGGATGTAAATTAAGCAAGTCTCTCATCAATCTTTAACTTTCGACACATTTTTTTCTGATTGTATCGTCACATCAACGAAGAACACGACTGAAATGGTTCATGTCTAAACATGAAACTTTTCCATAGTATACTAACCTGAAATAAAAAATACGACGTAGGGCTTAAACGACTCAGTGCTTACGTCTCAGCCCTAGTCACGAGAGTTCTCTCAATATGATGGAAAGTAGGCCACAGTACAGCAACCTGACCAATTGTATATGAACGGACTTCATACAAATTTCATGAACAACTAAGGTTCTTTGATTAGTAGGATTTCCACACAGTAATTTCTCTCACCTTTTCTCAAGATGAAAAAGCCAATCAAAGATGTGTGAGGCACGATATTCAACCAAATTTGCAATAAAATATAAAATAACAATAATACTATCAACTTAAGCGAAGTGAAAACATATCACTTTCACAAATTCAATAAAATATCTTTACCAGACACAAGTGATAAATTAAAAATTAAAAAACCCCCCCGACCATCTTGGATCGATTTTCATCAAACATAACACTCCCGACTTATTCACATTTGAAACAAAAAAAAAACAAAATCAAAATCGGCTCATCAGTTCGGGAGCTACGATGCCACAGACAGACAGACACATCAAGCTTATAACATTTCCGTCGTTTTTGCGTCGGGGGTTAAAAAGACCATACATACCAGAATCCAAATCCGAAGAATAATAGACGGTCTTTTCCCCTCTATCGTGGCTCTTGCTCCTCAACACGGACGGTCTCATACGTCTTTCTGCCTCCATCTTCCTCACGGTGTCCTGCAGGGCGTCGTTCTTGGCCTTCAGTTCTGATCGTTCCCTTTGTAGGTTGTGAAGTTCCCTTTCTAGCTCACTACTGCCGTTGCTCTCTTTGCCGTCCCATGTCGTCATACGGAGTTGGGATTCAAGGTCCGCTCTGTTTGTGTAACGATTTCATTAAAATAATTTATAAATAATTAATAATCAATTACTGTTCAATTGACACAATTAAATTATCTTGTCTTTCTTCGTGAGATTTTCTTAGGGGACGGCTAGTGGGTGTGCTTGTTGCTTTGACAGAGCAACGTCAACAATGAGCAACAGAACATTAAATAATGGTATTTTGTTTAACCTCTGCCACACTAATTTTAGAAAGAGAACTATGTTTTTGTATTTTTCAAATAAATCCACGAAAAAAATCCGAAAAGATAGTTTTATTTAAAATGTCAAATATTCGCGTAAATCAAAGAAAGTATTATTAGAAAGAGGTCTTAAAAAATAATTATGACAACTTCTTTAAAGTTTATCTTGAATATAAACTTTTAAAGTGTTCATCTTCGTTATACAAGGAAATATTGTATGAGGGACTCCTCATACAATATTTCCAGCTTGTAAACCTAGCGGCTTAGGCTGTGTGTACACAGTATAGTCAGTGACTATAGTATTTTTAATCGACTTAAATAAGGAAGTACTTAATTTGTTTTTTTTTTGGCTGGCCTTAAACAGTAATATAGTTAGGTAAAGATCTTTTCGGATTTTTTCGCTGATTTATATTGATTTTCGGTTTCGAATGTTTTAAATAAAAAAATCCAAAAAGATAGTTTTATTTTAAAACGTCAAATATTCGCGTCAATTCTATGAAAGAAATAAGGTTAATTCAATAAAAATTTAAAGGTAATTTTTACCAGTAATTTTTAACATTTTTATTAATTAAAATAATTATTATGTTATAATAATTATTACAAGGGAGATATAATCAAACAAACCTCTGCGCTTCTACATTGGCCAGTTGGTTGGTCAGACGGTGCACTTGGTCTTCTAAAGTGTTATTCTGTCGTTTCAATTCACTTAGTGTGGCTTTAGCGCTTTCCAATTTCTCTGACAGTACGCGACGCTCGTTCTCACAATTGGCTTGGGATAGAAAAAATAAAACATAATATCTTTTTTAAAGAGACAAGAGGAAACATACAGACAGACAGACAGACAAAAATAAAAAAAAATGTAAATTCTTATAGTTACCATATATAATTTTATATGCATTAAGTAAAACACTGCTATTTTGACATTACAAACAGACACTTCAATTTTATTTATCTGTATAGACTAGTATATAACTGTGGGATAAAGACAGTATACGAAACGTAAGTGTATTTTCAAAGCGAAAATCTAAAAAGAGCTGAATAGCCCAACTCACCCATGCTCTTCTGTATCTGGCGCAGCTTGTCGGCCGCGCCGGCCTCGTGCGCGCGCGCGTCGGCCAGCAGGCGCTGCGCGCGCGCGAGGTCGGCGCGCAGCTCGGCCTCCGCCGCCGCCGCCTTCTGCAGCGCCGCCGACAGCTGCTCCACCGTGCCCTTCAGCGACGTGCAGCGCTCCTCCAGCGACGTGATGGTGCGCGCGTGCCCTTCGCAACGCTCTTGCATTTTCTGTTATTTATCATACTTTTGGATTATTGATTTTTTTATATACATATACTAGCGCCTCACCCTCACCTCGCTCGGGTTCGTCCCTAGGTGGACTCCCCAATACAAACTATCATGTCCATTTTCACCCCCTTAAGGGATGACTTCCGGGATAAAAAGTATCCTATGTCCTTCCCAGGGTCTCAAACGAATTATTAAATGATATTTATATATCTATTGTTTGCTATATTTCCGATGATTGTTTTTTTTTAAAAAAAGCTCGCGACTTACTATCCTTTCACTATGGTACATCCCTAGGTATCGAACAGTGGCATGTGTTACTGCAGGTTGTAGGCTATATCGCTACAATCGTTTCAGCGTAACGGAGCAACAAACGCAGAGACGAATGCACACACATGCACACGCACTCAAACACAACGGTTTTGCATTTTCTGTTTTAGTTATAGATAATTAGTTTATATTTTTATTTGTACATTGAAACTTTTTATAAATATCTATATTCAGTGTGAATAGTCTCACAGTCCCCTGCTCGTTAATGACAGACGAGGACTCATGATGGGCTATTATAAATAAACAGGGTCCCATAATAAATCCATGGCAACATCAAAAGAAATAAAAGAATAAGGCAGTATAATATAAAGCAATTCTCGCCTTCATGGCAGCATCCCGGTCGCGCGCTGCGACGGCCGCGCGCTGCACGTCGCCCTCCAGCTGCGCGCGCCGCACGTCCAGGCGCGCCGCGCGACCTAAAGTTACAGTCCCCTGGTTATTTAACCATCCTCTTGTTTATGGGCTAGCATGTACGACTATAGGGTTACTGTATGGGTTCGATTCCCGGATATTAACCAAATATAATTTTTATGTAACAATGTGAAGGAATAGCAAACACATTCACACACTCACAAACTTTCACATATATAATACGAGTTTGATAAATCTATTATTATAATATCTGACCTTCAGCAGCTGCAAGGGCCTCACGCAGCTGACCAACTTCTTGAACGCGCTCCGCCAATTGAGCTCGTAGACTCTCAGATTTGTTCTACACATATTAATAACAATAACATAATATTTAAAATTAAATTACTATTTAAAATTATCACGTCTTATTACAATTTGTATTACAGTCTTTTTTTTGCGTCCCACTGCTGAGCACGGGCCTCCCTTTAATACGGGGGTCAGGCCATAGTGCAGGTTGGCGGACTTCTACTCGTTCGAACTACTTCTCTTTCGAAAACTTGATAGGTTCTCTCAGACATGCAGATTTCCATGAAAATATCACAGGTGCAAGACCCGGGATTTGAACCAACTTCACTTGGTTTTTCAATTATTGGGCTACCACTGCCTATTAAAATTTATTGTACATCATTTACCTCATTCTGTACTTTGTCTTCAGTAATAGAGCTCAATGTCGCCTCGAGGCTTGTGATCTTGTCCCTCAAATTGCTGATCTCCACAGTCTTTGCTTGAACTGACTCGTTCTGAAATATTGATTAGAATCATAAAAATACCAATAAATATGTATAAGGATTTTTAAAGTTGTAAATCATTTTAGTCAATTTTTTAAACGGCCGTAACTGAAGAATGATCATGTGACATCGTATTGTATTTATTGTTGCACAATATGCAGTTTGATTTTCGTTTAAATAAACAAATATTCGTAATAATCTTAGCAATTTTCTTGTCTTGTTAAAATTTCGTTGTTATTTCAAGTAAAACTATAACTGTACCTTTGAGGCGTCTAAAACCTTTGTCTTTCGCGTGACCATGATAGCTGTACAGTATTTGAATTATCGGAAACCAAATATCAAAATAAATCAACGAAAAAATCCAAAAAGATAGTTTCATTTAAAATGTCAAATATTCGTTGTTAATTAATTTCCCTAATGAAAAACAAACCTCTTATTAAAATGCCTAGTGCGCGTGCTCTCTAAGAGTACTAACCAAAGCGTTCAACTGAACTTCCTTCTGTCCCACGGCGGCTTGCAGACGAGACTTCTCTTCTTGCACACTCCGAAGGTTAGTGTTGAGTGATTGAAGCCGCCCTTCTCCCTTGCCTTGCTGTTCTGTGGCCTCCTTCAGTTGCTTCTTTAGCACGGTCACTTGAGATTTGTAGTCGTCCTGATATAATAAAAAACGTATGTGTGTACTTATGTACGCACGTAAGAAGTTATACTTCTTTGGGGTAACAGAACAAAAATAGCTAAAGATTTCATCCCGTATGTCACAACTGTCTGTTTGTAAAAGGAATACCAGCTAATTTCATCATGTCGCTTTCAGATAACCACATCACTTCGTTTTTGGCTGTCGGTGTGCGCGCGCATAGTAAAAATTTTACTCTTATAATTTTTTCCAAACGTGCCAAAAGAAGTAAAACTTCTGTAAACACTTTTTAAACTAAAGCACATGAACTTCAAAATCACTTTAAAAGTGATTATTTAAATTAAGCTTAAGGGCTTATTTTTTTAATTTATATTATTTCACTACATACTATAAAACAAAGTCTACAAAGTTTTTTAAATTCAAGTTATTTTGTATACCTGTTAGTATTGATTTAATTATTAAACGAATAAATATGCAATTGATTTTGTGAATCATTATCACTATTTATGACTTCGGTGTTTCTAACAACACTCATTTTTTATAATCTGGTTTGTAAGTCACGGTGAAGTGACGTCACGTGATAAGATGAAGAATAGAAGGTAAGGAAATAGTTTTATTTTTGTGATTTTCAAATTCTTGTAATAAATAAAAATTCCTTTGTTTTCAAATTAGCTAACCTGGCAGACCTTATCATCTTATGCTCGAAGTTTAATAATCTTCGAGTTCAAACAAAAATCTAAATTAAAACCACTTTAAGGTTTTAACAATTTACCCCATTTTTAGGGCAACTTTTTTCCATCTTTTCCTTAAAAACCTTATTCAAACCATTAGGAACATTACATTATAAACAAAATTAGGCAGTCCGCACCAGCCACTTTCAAATGATAAACTTACCAACAAACAGCATTTCACTATAATTTGATATAAGTTCTCATATAAATCTTACCTTTTCCCTTTCAATCTGGCACACTTCATGCATTAAGTTGCGGAGACCTTTCTTAAATAGCTCTGGATCAACGTCGATAATCTCGTTACGTTCCTCGGAGTGATCACGATCACGGCCTGTAACGATTAATCCAAAAATAGTTAAATATTATAATCTCTAAAGACTTACTACGTCATCAACATCTCCCTGCCCATTTCCCAATCACTCGGGGTTGGTGCAGTACATCTTCCGTACTGCTAATAGGATTTAGCAAAGTCTTCATCAACCCTCCTTGGGAATGCTATTGTTTATCGCGGGCATCTTGTAATATGTACATTCGGTATTGTTTTCTTTTCAAACATTTTTTATTATATTACTCAAAGTTTTAATGTAATTTTTGATATATTTTGAAACTAATTTTGAACACACAATAAAGTAGAGACTTTTTTTGGGTTTTACTACGTATTATGTGGTAAATTTAATTTAAAGAGGGATTTATATGTGTATAATCAATCATGAATATGAAACTACTGAGTTGGATAAAGATTAATATCATATGAATATCATCCTCTTTCGATTCTACCTGTATTTTGATTGACTAATTTGGACTAAATTTTAATGAACTACAGTCCACGTTACTCGCTAAAAATGTTAGATTTATATAGGTGAAAGAATTTTTACACATCCACCTTTATACAGTGTATACACAACCTCGATGCGGAAGGAATACCGCGCGGGACTTGCACACACACACACACATACACACAGCGTCACGACGACAGGTGCGGAACAATAGAAGTTTGTATATAACATAGATATATTGACGACATGTTTAGCTCAATTTGTAGTAACCTTACCTGCTGTGCCAGCGCCACAGCGGTCGCGTGTTCGAGCTCCACTGGGGGTATTAATTTGTATGATGAGCACGAATGCTTGTACTCCAGTCATGGGTTTTTATATTTATAATATGTATGTATTTAAAATTATATAGTACGTGTAGTGTATCAACTATCCGGAATATCTAACACAAGCCTCGTAGCTCACCATGGAACTAGATAATCCCAAGGTATTTATTCGTGTTATATACAATACAGTACCCCTGTGCGGCGAGTAGCGGCGCGCGGGGCTGGCGAGGCGGCGGCGCGCGGCGCTCACGCTGCCGTCGGGCTGCACGCCGCACACGCGGCGCAGCGCGCGCGCCAGCGAGCACAGCCGCGCCTCCGCCTCGCGCCGCGCGCCCTCCGCCTGCGCCAGCGCCGCCTCCAGCGCGCGCGTGCGGCCCTCGCTGCCGCCGAGACGCGTCTGCGAAACATTCATTCACAGTTAATATTATATACGAGTATATGAAAGTGTGTTTGTTTGTTCTTTCACGTCGAAACGGAGTGACGGTTTTACGTGATCTTTTTGTGTGGTAATAATTGGAGTGACGAGATTACCTCAATCCCACAGAAAAACACCTCATAATACAACCCAAAAAATATTTATGATCAGAATTACTTGAAACTTGGTATTTATGCTCTTTAATACAATTAAATAAATACGTGTTTTAGCATTTCTCGAAATTCATCCCATAAGGAGGTAAAATAGGGGATGAAATTTTTTATGAAACCTACCTCTTTAGTCTTTTTACTGTAGTTTTAGCGCGAGAGAAGCCGCGGGTCCTGCTGCAGGAACCGCGGCTTCTCTCGTCCTCCTGATCGATTTCAAGCATGGCAGCCAATCTGACTAAGACTAGCCAACAATATAGAAAATATTATAGTGCAGACACAAGTGCACTCTCCATACCTATTACTCTCATACTCCGGTGTGACGACTACTCGACAGACGCGGGACCAACGGCTTTCCGAGACATCCGAGACACAAAAGTTCCCAACTCGGGGCTGTCACTGAGAATTTCCTAACATAAAAACTCAACAACTACAATCGTACAGCTACATACTAGACCAGCATAGCTAGCTAGAGAAACAGTTATAATTTAAAGACATAAACAGATAGTAGTTGTTCATATAATTATTGATAATGAAACCTACAAAACGATACGAATAGTATTTCTTACCTTCAACTCCTGTATCTGCTGCGTGGCGTCGGCGAGACACACTTCCAGGTTGTGTTTCAGCTCTTCCAAGCGACGCTCTTTAGATCTACAGTCTTCCAATCGCACCACTAATTCCTGATAAAAGAAAGATATTATTAATGTAATTATTTTACTCCTAAAACATTTTTAAAGTATATAATAAAAACAAGAGCCAACAACATTTAAATGGGTTAGAATACAAACAAATTATACTAATATTTAATACTTGTATTAAATAATAGTTAATAATTATAACATATCGGAACCTACCTACTACATGGATATATCTAAAAAGCTTGCTTTAGTGGATCTCTTCTGTACAGTTTTGTACATTTTTATAACAATTGTTAATAATGTATTATCCGAATTTCAGTAAGTATATTTCTAGAAAAAAATGTAACAAAGTGTTTGCTATTAAATTGATCTCGTATCCTATATATCATAATATAAGAAATTTAAAATTTTTATTATACACATATTGAGTCCATATATTTATATGTCAGGTAACCATGAAAATGACATAGTGAATTAACAAACAATACAATAAAAAAGAAAAATAAATCATATTTATATCATAGTTATTATCATTTGATGCTCTTTCGATTAGCTAGTGTACATATGTATTATACTAGCGACTCACCCTCGCTTCGCTCGTGTTTGTCCCTAGGTACATTTCAATTTTTTTGAGCGGTGCTCTAATTCTTTTACTGAAATAAAAGTAACCTAAGTTACTCCTTATAACATCAACTACCTGCTAGTGAAAGTCCCGTCAAAATTGGCCCAGCCATTTCGGAGATTAGGCGGAACAAACAGACAGACAAAAAAAATAAAAATTGTGTTTTTCTTATAAATAGCGTATATAATTTCATATGCATTTAGCAAAACGCTTTTTTTTTTGACATTACAAACAGACACTTCAATTTTATTTATCTATATATATACGATTTCACGTACATTTTTTGTTTTGTTTACTTTGCGTGATAACTTATCGAGGCGATGCGTCGCTACATTTTTTACGTGTGCATTTAAAGATACTGAGCCGAATAGACGTAGCCAGTTAGATTCGTCAAAATTATACTGTAACTTCAGTAATTAAAGTACTTCAAATATATAAATATTTTAACTTGTGCCCTCTAAACTCTAATAACAACTATATTGTACTGTTCTAACCGGGACGGTACAGTATAGATGTTTTTTTTTGTTGGGACATCAACACACAGCACCATCTAGTTCCATGGTGAGCTACGAGGCCTGTGTTATGGATAGCAGATAGTTGATACACTACACATATATAACTTTAAATACGCACATATTATGTATAAATATAAACACCCATGACTGGAGTACAAACCTTTGTGCTCATCACACAAATGAATGCCCCAAGCGGGACTCGAACCCGCGAGCTCTGGCACAGCAAGTAGGGTCAGTACAAGCTGAGTCACACGCGTCGTCACACAGTCTAGATGTACCTGGTCGCGGGCGCGGCAGGCGTCGTCCAGGTCGGCGGCGCGCGCGCGCGCGGCGGCCAGGTCGGCGCGCGCGGCCGCCAGCAGCGCCTCCAGCTCGGCGCCGTGCCGCCGCGCCGCCGCCGCCTCGCCGCCGCAGCGCTCGCGCTCCTCGCACTCGTTCTGTAGTCTGCGAATCGACATTTATACGAAACTAGCGGCTCACCCTCGCTTCGCTCGGGTTCGTCGCTAGGTACGTTTTAAATAGATATAAAAAGAAAAAATCTTTCTTTCTCACATTTTAATTATATGTTTTAATACTTACCTATTCCGGACTAAGAGAAATCCAAAAATTAAAATATCATAAAAATTGGAACGCGGTCGAACGGGATAAAAAGTATCCTATGTCCTTCTCCTGGCTCTAAACTACCTCCCTGCCAATTTTCAGCTAAATCGGTTCAGCCGTTCTTGAGTTATAAGCGAAGTAACTAACACGACTTTCTTTTATATATATAGATTATTAATATGGTATTCTAGTAGGGTTACCTAATTTTTTTTAAATAAAATATGGCCTATGTTACTCGCTGATAATACTGCTTTTCAATATATGCATCAACACAACACACACTATTTTCGTAATTATAATTATTGTTTTAGTTGTACATGAAATTTTCAATACAAAAAAACTTTGTTTCTACTAAATATAAATACGTACGTCATAAATAAAAACGAACATAATTATAAAATTTATTTTGCAAATACACAAAAATAAATATGATGGAACATAACCACACAGCACCATCAAATTCCATGGTAAGCTATGAGGCTTGTGTTATGGATACCAGATAGTCGATACACTACACATATATAACTTTAAATGCATAAATATTATAAATATAAATACCCATGACTGGAGTACAAACATTCGTACTCATCACACAAATCATTGCCCCCAGCGGGACTCGAACCCACGACCGCTGGCGCTAGCAAGTACAAACTGAGCCAAACGTGTCGTCGAAGAAGTAAGATTATCTAAGCTTAAATCTTATAAGTCACTTACTCGCACCTGTGTTAAAGTTATTCTCACCTCATTTGAGCATAGTTTTTAAACGAGAAAGTTCTATCCACGCTGTCCATACAACAATACCTTCTAGAACATTCCATTCTCACCGGGACTGTAGTTCCTTGATGTCATGCTGCGCCTGCTCCAGCGCGGCGCGCTCCCGCTTGAGCTGCGCCTCGGCGGCGCGCAGCGCGCGCTCCGTGTGCTCGCCGCCGCTCTCGCTCTCTTTTAGCATCGTTTGGAGACGCGTCAGTTCCAGTTCTAGGGAGGTACGTTGTTCTTCTAATCCTGAAACGATGGTCAAAATTAAATTTAGAGGATAAAATATTATATAGGATAACTTTCATTTGAACCTCTTCATTTCTCATTCGTTTCATTTGAAATAATCCGAAAACATTGTTTTATTTAAAACTTCTAACTAGCTCGCTTCCCAATACAAACTTATATGCCCATTTTCAACCCCTTAAGATGATGATTTCGGGATAAAAAAAACTATCCTATGTCCTTCCCAGGGTTTCAAACTATCTTGCTACCAAATTTCAATCTAAATCGGTTCAGTAGATCCAGAGATTACCTCACAAACATTATAATATTAGTATAAATGTCAAATATTCAGGTAAACCTAACAGAAAATATTAAAGCCACTAACCAGCGATCTTATGATACGCGTCATCCCTGGCGCGCGCGGCGTCGCGGCGCTCGTGCTCGGCGCGCTTGACGTGGTCGCGCAGGTCGCGGCACGCCGCGCCGTACTTGTCGCGCTCCGCGCTGCTGCTGGACAGCTGGCGGCGCACGTCCGCCAGCTCCTTGCGCAGCCCGTCCGATTCGTTCTCCACTGTGTACCCAGATGGAAAATGGATGGAGTTAGAGGAATATGAGATAGACTTGTTGATCTATATACTATACTAGCGATTCACCCTAGCTGAGCTCTGGTTCGTCTCTAGCTTGATGCAAACTTTCATCCCCATTTTCACCCCCTTATGGGATGATTTCCAGGATAAAACTCTTCTTACCAAATTTAATCTAAATCGGTTCAATAGATCCAGAGATTTACCCCTACGACCTCACAAACTCACAAACTTTAGCTCTTTATAATGTTAGTATAGACTAATCCAATACTTACACTCCTTGAGCTTTCTCAAAGTATCTTGCAATTGTGTGTAGGCAGCGTCATACTTGTCCTCGGCTAGGGACAGTTGCGCTCGAGTCTCCTGACATTCGCGGTTGACTGCTTCCTTTTCTAAATGCAATTCTTTTATACGGTTTTCAAATCTGGCACACTCGTCTTCTGCCGTCGCCCTTTGGGAAAATTATCAGTTATTATAAAATTTATATTATATACTAGCGACTCACCTTCGCTTCGCTCGGGTTCCTCCCTAGGTTGATTCCCCATACAAATTTTCATCCCCATTTTCACCCCCTTAAGGGATGATTTCCGAGATAAAAAGTATCATATGTCCTTCTCAGGGTCACAAACCTTCATTTATCTAAATCGGTTCAGTAGATCCAAAGATTACCCCCTACAGAGTCACTAACTCACATACTCATAAACTTTACCTCTTTATAATATTAGTATAGTTTGGTATTGAGTGGGAATTAGATAATATACCGCGGTAAAGCCTATGTCACTCTCCAGCCCTTCAACTATTTCCACATAAAAAATCTCGCCAAACCGTCACTCTGTTTCGACGTGGAAAAAGGACGCACAAACAAACAAACACTTCCATATTTAAAATATTAGTATGGATTAACATTCGTAATATGAAATTTTTAATATGTTTATAACTTCTTAGTGCTGTAACGGCTCGACTAAAAAATAAAATTTAGAAGAGAAATATGCTTACTCTGAATTTACTATCAATACATATTCTGTCAATTTATATACATAAAGATGAGTTAAATTAATTAATTAGTGTTTATTATAATAAAATTTTACAAGCACTAATGAAACATTGCTTTACTTATTATTAACACCTCCAACTTCGCGACTTCGGACTACTATTTTAGAACAAAGATAAATAAAGTCTTAATAGAATTAATTACATATACTACTTTTACCCAACACTAACAAATCTATGCACATAGCGCCATCTATCGATATGTAACGGAAATAATTTTCTTTATGAGACCCCAAAACTAAATGTGTATACTAACTTGGCCTCTTCCAGCCTAGTCTTCATAGCGGCCAAGTCATCTTTCAGCTGATTGATACAGTTCCTGTCCTGGTCGGCGCGCGCCGCCGCCTCGCGCTTGGCGCGCTCCAGCTTGTTCCGCTCACAGTGTAATATCCGCTTGGCTTCTTCTAAACGTTCTACGAGGGCTTGGTGTTCTTGGTGAGCTGAATTATGAAACGCGAAAATTTAAAAAGTTATATTGTTAGATCACGATGATTTCCTTCACATGTTGATGCGGTCCCGGACAGACAATCAGACAGACAAACAAAAATACTAAAAATTCAAAAACGATTTACGAAAAAGTACAGAGTCAGTTCAGTTACAATTTTATTATATGCAATGATAACACCTCCAGGTAAATTTCTAAGAAATTAATTAATTTAAGAAATCTATTGTTAACTGTAACGCCGGCGTGTCCGCGGTCGTTGAGGGATAATATTCCGGGCACGGCGGCCATTCTCATTGAGACTAGCCAACTGCGCAGGAGATATTATAGTGCACAAGTATGCGCGCAGACACAACATGCATTCTCGCGGTGTTTTCGGCGGTGCAACATTGCCGCCAACTTCCCAATTCCAGGCTACTACTGAGAACATCTTAACGGAAAACGAAAAAACCCACGACCTTCAGATCTACAGCCGCAACTAGATTACAGAAGCGGTTTAAATTTTATTTTAATACAAATTACCCATCAGAAGCGCCTGCTGCTTATCATTCTCCGCGCGCAGCATGGCCTCGTCGTGCTGCAGCAGCAGCTGGTCGCGCGCCGCCAGCAGCTTCTTCTCTCTCTCTCTCGCGCCCGCCTCCAGCGCTTCCCTCTCGCTCGTCAGCGTCGCGATGGTCTGGCTCAGCTTTTGTTCTAGCGATTGGCGGAGTTGCTCCTGTGGGTTTGTTTTACTTTATTTTGTACGTAACTAAACATTATTCCATTAGTCTATGTGGTGGTATGTGGTGAATATTAAGCTCATATAGTGATTCCCATAATTGAAAACTGCGTCCCTAGGTACACGGATTTTGTTCACAATTTCACAGGTTTTATTTTTTTCTTGCGTGGAATAAATGCTAATTCTTTTTCTAAAATAAACTATAAATAAACCAATAGCCTAAGTTACTCCTTATAATATCAACTTTCTGCCAGTGAAAGTCCCGTCAAAATCGATCCAGCCGTTTTGGAGTTTAGCCGGTACAAAACAGACAGACAAAAAAATAAAAAATTGTTATTTTCTTATAAGAACCATATATAACTTTCTTATATGTATTTGGTAAAAAGCTATTGTTTTAACATTACAAACAGACATTTCAATTTGATTTATTTTTATAATGTATATAATGATTATATTAATTAATTGGTTATACTATTACTATCTTACATAATTTATATACTTACGATCTTAACTACATATTTTGCTTTGTATAGAAAAACAAAACAGACAACCAGAAGATCTAGCGATTTTTTATATTACTACATTTTACACGCGATTCCGCTCGCGTAGTTTATGAGATAGCGGTAGCGCTATTGTCAAAACAGACAGACATAAGAATAGGTTTAAATTCTTATTTCCAGCCATACATACCTTCTCTTCTTTGAGCTTAGTTATATTCTCAGTAGTGGTGCGATTGAGATTATTTATAACTTGTTGATATTCCGCTTCCTTCTTGCCAGACTGTTGTGACATACTATTCCTTGTTTCTCGAAGCTTCTTCTCAGTGTTTTCCAGATCTTTTGTCAGACGAGATATTTGACCTATACAAAATATATACATTAAATCATTAAATATGCTTATTAAATGTACTTATTTTGTGATCATATTCCATAGCCAACAAAGTTAATGAAAACTACTTTGGCGAATTAAGGCGAATTTTTCATAGATTCATATACACTATATATACTCTATGGAGTTGTCCATACTAATATTATAAATGCGAAAGTAACTCTGCCTGCTTTTTCAGGCTGAACCGATTAAGATGAAATTTGGTATAGAGATAATTTGAAATCACCCCTTAAGACGATGAAAAGAGGGGTGGAATTTGTATGGGGAATCAATTATTTCACAATGTAAGACTCATCATACCTATGTATATATATTATATAGTCTATTCCATACGTAGCAACAAAACGTACCTAGGGATGAACCCGAGCGAAGCAAGATAAGGTTAGGTTAGCTAAACACCATATGTAATAACCTTTCGAGTTCTCCAAGGAGACCTTCGCGTCCTGCAGCTCGGCCTCCAGCTTGGCGCGGCGCGCCGCCTCGTCCTCCAGCAGGCTGGCGGAGTCGAACAGCGCCGCCTCCAGCGCGTCCTTGTCGGCGCGCGCGCCCGCCAGCGCCTCCTGCAGCTGCTGCCTCTCTTTGTCCAACTTCGATATTGTTATCTGTTCGTTGGTTGTACAAAAATTATTCACGGTCAATGAAGGCTAACATTAATTTATATTATCATTAATTTAATTATAGTAGTTAATATGTGTTATTCTTCAAATTAATTTCATCTATTATAAATATTTATTAGAAATTGTATTTAACATTTCATATATTATTGTTTTAAAGCCGGAAATGTAATTAATGCTGTGTATGCCTATAATTAATGCTTGTACTAGAATAAGTAATCTTATAATATAATAATTTAGAATGTAGGTACAATGTATTGTTGGCATAATATCTTGCAAATAAATAAATAAATAAATAAATAAATAAATAAATAAAAGCTACCGCACTTGAATTTGCCGCGAGAGGCGCTAGTGTAGTGCGAGATCTCTAGAAATGTCAAATGTCACTGAATGTTTACCTATTCATGATTGTTGTAAACATTCGAATGACACGCCATTCTTGAATTACTTATGGCAGACACATACAAAGGACAGACGAACATGGTGGAATTATAAGGGTTCGTTTTAGGTTTTTGGCTATAGAACCCTAAAAAGCAGAACCGAATCGATACATTCTCCTTTTCTTTTGAAACGGGTTTAAAATATATATTATAAAATTGAAATATTTTAAAGCGAATCTCCCACCTGCTTCTCCTCAGCATCCTTCACATGGTCGTCCAGACTTCTATTCAATCTGCCGATAGTCTCGTTTGCTTGTTCAAGTCTCTGTTGCAGACGGATGATTTCTTCATTGAGTGCGTCCTTCTTACGCGCCATTGCTGTTAGTTGGGAGCTTAGTTCCCCACGTTCCCTGTACATGAAACATGTGTTTTGAATGGCAATTTTATTAAAAACAATTTATATTTATCTGAATATTGCCATAGTGTAAAACGTGGTTTTGTGCTTCGCCACCCGCGATGTAAAACTACCCTTCTCTCGAGTATTTTCTACACTTAACCACTTATATATAATCACTGTAGACGCATTTTTTACACAATTAAAGTGGGTCCCCCTCGCTTCGCTCGAGTTCGTTGCTCGAGTTCGAGTCGATTATTCTCAAATGTATCTGTAGATATGTATCTTTACTAGTATACAAACATAGGAGACAGTCTAAATAATTACTTTATCGGTGAAAATTAGTTCTACAACTTGCCGGTAGGGAAATCAATACTTTACCTTACAACTTGTCGTAACTCCAACTCAACTTTCTCTCTATCTCCTTCCAAAAACTTAATCTTCTCAAACAGAGATGCTTTATCCGCTTCCAACTCCATACGATTCTGTTCAGCAGCGAGTAGTTCCTTCCGGAGAGAGTTCAAATCTCCTTGTAGTTCTGACGATTGGTTGGAAAGAGACGATCTTTCTTCTTCCAACTTAAATAAAAAAATAATAACAATAAAATTACATGTCTCACTCGACGTTTCTTATATTAATCCTAAAAAGTCCACGATGACATATATTTAACTTTTATATTTTAGCAGATATACTTGCTGTGATGTTTAAAAAATATTTCTTTTGCCAAGTATTATTTAGCGGATAAAAACAATAACATTCCCAAAAAGGGTTGACGTGAGGCAGGAGGCCGGTCGTAAAACTTTGGCCAAATCCTATCCTACGACCGCAAGTATGAAATGGATAGGGAGATGATGATGAATATTAATTCGTATGGTACAAAATTATTTCATAGTTCTAAATAGAGGTAAACGCCTGTTACAGGACGTAATTTGGCTTTATATAGTTCAGGAGATAATGAATAATGAAAATAAAATACGACTTGCGTCAACTAGTATAATAACAACGATATAAAATATTAAGCCACTAACATTCTTGACATCTTCTTGCAATTTCTTCTTATCGACTTCCAAATTGCGTACAAGAGACTGCAACTTATCAACAAGATCCTGTAAGTCCCCGCGCTCTAACAAAGTCCGTTCCAGTTCGATTTCTAGTTCACCTAAAAGAAATAGTTATTACGTCTTATTAGTACAGATAACACAATACTATACTAACACTGATCCCGAGAATTGAGGCAGTGGTAGCCAAGCGCGGATCCAGGGGGGGGGTCATGGGGGTCATGACCCCCCCCCCCCCAAAGCCGAATATACTTTTTAGAGAAGTTTGAAGTCTAAGAAAGGAAGAAATAAACGGATAAACATTTCAATTAAAAAAAATGGTTATTATATGTATTTTGAAGATTATATTCCCCTAGTTTCATGAATATCAAACAGTTTTTGCAGAAATCTATATACATAATCGTTGGCTCACTATTACAAGGTTCTATGTTAATTTTAATGAAGTTTAGTAATTTTTACATAGAACTTCGTTATTTTGTTACCGTATAAAAAAACAACATAGAACTATGTAAACTTGAATATTTTGTAGTTATAGTGCCGCTATCTAGTGGTTTGTTTCTGCAAAACTGTAGCTAATGTCACATAGAACCTTGCAGCATTAATAACTAAATAAGTACTAAAATTGTAACATAGAACCTTGTAATAAGGAGCCAACAAATTATAATAAAATTGTAACTAAGTCGAATACAGATTCGAAAAGATTCGAGAAGATTTTCCAAAAAATGTTTAATGTACAGACATTAAACATTTTTTGGAAAATCTAATTAAAATAGACATTATTATCAATACAGAGGCCGAATATATAGTTTTTAGAATTTTTCTCTGACTGTTTGTCTGTTACCGCATCACGAGAAAACCACTGGACAGATTTTGATGAAATTTATATAAAGAATATTTTTCGATAAGATGTCACAACAAGCCAGAAATTAAAAAAACCTATTTTTCAACGTTTTTTGTTCCTTATATACCTGCTAAAGTATTAAAGCCTTACAATACATGAAATTTTGTATGGTCATAGTTGATTATCCGGGTCAACATAATATAGGATACTTTTTACCGCTGAAAAATATCCCATTTCTGAGAAAAAATACAAAAACTGTAATGTAAGAGTATACTAATATGTAAAACCTAAGAATTTGGTTTTTGGTCATCTGAACGCGGGCGGAGCCGCAGGCAATGCTAGTCAATTTATATAACGCCATCTACTGACATATATTTAAACTAATTTTTTTTATCCTGATGAGATCCTATAGTATAAACAAAAACCTATACTGTATAACTAGCCTTAGACTACGGTTTTACTTGCATATACATGTTTTCATAAAGTGATTTAAGATATTTGCAAAGTAACTGATATACATATATGTATTTTATATACAAACTTCTATTCTTCTCCATCTGGGAAAGCAAGGTGTCAGATTCCAGCTTCTGTTGGTCCAACAGATCCCGAGTCAGCGCCATTTTATTTAGTTCTTCTCTCAATGTCACTAACTCTGATCGCAATCGAGAAGAACGTTCTTCTTCAGCTCTGTGGATATGATGTATAAAAGCAAATTGAACATTTATGGACCAAAATAAGTCATTATTTATTCACAAATAGGTAGCACTGCGATCGAAGTATAAATAAATTTAATGTCCCATAATGGCCGAACAATAGCTGATGGGATAATTAATATATATTTACCGTAAAACAGATTCTCTGCTGGCAGCTTCGTGTCTTAAATGGTCCACTTCAGAGTTTAAAGCTCGCTTTTCATCTTCAAGTGCCTCTATATTCTTTTCTAACCGCGAGTTGATCTTCTGTAACTTCTCATAATCGGATGTTAGAGATTCCACCTGTTAACAATAAAAACATAAATTATATATATATATATATATATATATATATATATATATATATATATATTAATTTATTTATTATCATCAAAAATTGAAATGTAGTATCATTGTTCATGGATACATTCACAAAGCTTGGACAGGTTTTATTTTATAAATTACTTTAGCTTTTAATAAAATAATAATATAAAAAAGCATTTATAAAAACAAGACAACAATTATTTAAATGGTCTTAATAGAAGAAAAAAATTTTTTTAATTAAATCAAACTAATCAATTTATTACATATTTGTGTGATGTAACAGACTTTCATTGCCCATATCATAAGGATCACTATGGAAATGAAAAATCGCTATCATCCAACGTCCGCCATATTGGATTAAAAATGACGGCATTTAGGTAATCATGCAGTCACGAAAGCCAAACGTGTGTGCGAAATTTCATCTCAATCGGTCACAGGGAAGAGGGTCAAAATTAAATTGCAAGATTTGATTACACACAGACACCGAGACAGATGAAACTAAATAAAAGTTTGTAAAATACTGACCATCAGTAATTTAACCTTCTGGTATTTGGTTCCATCATTAGATCTGTATAATGGTATTAATTAATGGACAAAGCTCTGGACCAAAAATAGTGAATATAAATGAGTCTCACTCACCATAGCATTGATCTCAACTCTATTTCTTTCTAGATTGTTCTTATCCATCCTCAAAGATTCAACGGTCTTCTGCAAAGAATCCTTCTCTTGCAATAGTTGATTGAGATCTGCATTGGATTGGTCCAATTTGGCTAAAACATATGAAACATTATAATACAACTATGCGTAATAAATAAATACAATATATAATAATATGTTGTGGAATAAGACTATCTTAAATTAACGTAAATATTTGAAAATTTAAATAAAACTATCCTTTCGGATTTTTTCCGTAACCACGATTGCTGTAAAACATTCATAATGTCGGAAAGCAAAAATCAAAATAAATCCGCGAAAAGAGATGGACAGGGAGATGATGATGAATATTAATTCGTATGGTACAAAATTATTTCATAGTTCTAAATAGAGATAAACGCCTGTTACAGGACGTAATTTGGCTTTATATAGTTCAGGAGATAATGAATAATGAAAATAAAATACGACTTGCGTCAACCAGTATAATAACAACGATATAAATATTAAGCCACTAACATATATGTAACGTAATAACGTAAATATTTGAAAATTTAAATAAAACTATCCTTTCGGATTTTTTCCGTAACCACGATTGCTGTAAAACATTGATAATGTCGGAAAGCAAAAATCAAAATAAATCCGCGAAAAAATCCGAAAAGATAGTTTTATTTAAAATGTTGTGGGATATAAGAAAAAGGAAAAATTAACTAACTTACATAACTTAAAATTGCAGACATAAGTATCACCAGAAAACCAGCAGATAATCACCTTTTTCATGTATCAAGAGATAACAGAAATAATAATAAATATATAGTCATTGAAGTACTACCTTGTATAGATGTAGATAAAACGTGTATAATATGCTATTGCCTATTGTGGACTTTTATGCAGGTATTTTTAAGACCTACAATTTTCTAGTACATTGTTTTGGTATTTCTTAAGGTTTAGCCAGCGTTAATCAAATAAATTTCTAAGGACGACTTTATAAAACCTTGTAAATTATAAAAAGTTTTATATAAAAATTCTTTTATAAACAACTTCAAAAACTATAACACTTGTTATTTTCCTAAAATAAATATTCAAACAATTACCTTGCAAATCCTGTACTTTGCCCTCCAACGAAGCGATGGTGGCATCGGCCGCCTCACTGTGCTTTCGACTCGTCATTAGTTGTTCCCTGGTATTTTGCAGTTTCACCTAAATCCATAAAAACCACAATTAAATTTTTACATTAATTAAATTATTTTTTTATAATTTTAAAACACAATTACTTTATGTGGTATATAATATTATGTTACGTTATATTATAATGTAGTATAAAACTAAAAAAATATATTCAATGAACAAGGCCTTTGGTTCTATCATTAAATCAGGTAAATACTATCAAATTATTGTGTCATCATCTTAATATTACGATGTTCTGCGTTCAAATTCAGGGTTGAGTAAAATTTAGTTATTGACTTTTTGTGTCAAGAAATTCTCAGTAACAGTTCTCTGAAGGTATTCTCAGTATTTAGTTGGAGAGTTGTCGGTATTCCATTCCAGTGACTCGGAGAATATCCCAAGTGTCGTGATCTCTCACCGGTATACAAAACGATTGTCCTACAAGAGCATGGGAATGACACAATAGAGAATGCAGATGTGTTTATGCGTATAGTTATGCTCTATAACATCTCCTGCGCAATTGGAAATACAGCCAACTTCCTAACTCTGAGCTGTTACTAAGACTTCCTAAACAGAACTTAAAAACCCGGGACTCGAACCTGGGACCTCCGTACCTGCAGCCGTACACGCTATCCACTACACCACCGTGGCAGTAAATAAATAACATTACAGTACCTGCAACTCGTGTATCTGTATCTGGTACTTGTGCAGCGCGGCCTGCACCGCCGAGATGGTGCTCTCCGCGAAGGCCGTCGCGTTGCCGTGTGGCGCGCGTTTGGGAGACCTGGACATGTTGTTCATAAAGTATTTGTTAAGTACACATTTACATTATATGTAATAATGATAATAAAGCCTCTTTATTTCCTTAATAAATAGATATCACAATATAATCATTTTTTCCTAGTTAAAACATATAATTATAAAGAAATATAATTTTTAATTTCATCATAGACAAAAACAACTCAAACTCGACCCTCTTATATTAGAGTCAGTTAAAATTCCCAATACAGTTAGGCACAAAAACATTATATCGACGTAATTAATGATACAAAACATAAGTGCAACCAAGTGACCTCTCAGAGAGATGCAAGTGCTGCGGGCCCGCGTCCGCCTCCGAGTCGTGTATGAGCGCGCGCGCCACCTCCTCCAGCGCCGACCGCATCACGTTCGCTTCCGAACATACTGTCTCTGCACACTCACATCGCTCCTCCTGTTTAAACGCAGACAAATCCATACTAATATTATAAATGTGTTAGTGTGTGTGTTTGTTTGTCCTTGATGAGTGGAGGGCTGGAGAGTGACATAGGCTACTATTTACCACGAGAGATTATGTCATTCCCACAACAACTCATTATACCTATGTACCTACTCGTATCAGACAATCCCATGCTAATCATTTAAAGTTTAGACATAACTAAACAATAAAAAAATAAAAATCAAGTGCAAGTCAGGCTCGCGAAGGGTTCTATATCATAGTACAAAATATATGTATATTTTAATTTGCATGACGGCCATTTTGAAATTCGACATCTTGGTTTTTTTATTATTTCTTGTTATTGCGGCAATAGAAATACACACTGCAAAAATTTCAACTCTACATATTACAGTTCATGAGCCCGCTGACAGACAGACGGACTGACACCGGAGGCCGTTTTGACCAACTTTAATGTATAGGATGAGCCTCAATTAAAAATGTTTACATTTAAGAGTCTTCATAGTTCCTCTAACTCGACAATATCAAATTATTATACATATGGTGACCAAGAATTCAGATACTTAAAAAAATCAAAATCATACGACAAATTTTAAAAATAATTTATAATTATTCACGAAATGAACCATTTTATCTAGGTACTAATTAGGATATAAAATAAAAAAAAAACATTTACCAATCCCTGCAGTTCTCCTAACAGACGTTGTATACGAGTGTCTCTTTCCCGCAACTCGGCTATGGCCGAGTCACGTTGAGATGTGATGGAATGCAGTTCTGATCTGAGGTTCTCTATTGCGGATGATGGAATCAGTCCTGCAGGCTGTTGTTCAGACTGGAAAATTATTCAAATGTTAAATAATTAGGAAGTGTAAGTAAATGTGTGTACTTGTTTTTGTCACGAGTGTCTCGTCAATTAAATGTACCTAGATATTACATGAATATAAGGCAGTAACGTGCCTGCTTGAAAAACCCAGTGAAGCTGGTTCAAATCCCGGGTCTCGCACTTCTGATATATTCATGTGCACATCATTTCAACATGTTGACCACATGTCTTATGGTGAAGAAAAACATCATGAGGAACTCTCGTATTGGAAGAGCCAGCCCAGCAGGGAGATGTTAAAAAGGGCTGAATAATCTATCTCCATACACGATATAAAGAAGCAAGGAACACTATTTACAAATATTTATACTTTATTTCTTCTGTATCCCACTGATATAACACTAGCCTTTAAACAAGAGATATCAATACTTTACATGTGGGATGTAACATCAACAACTTCCTAACTCTGTGCTTTTACTGAAGTTTTCTTAACAGAAAAATCTAATATCTAAATAAAATAACTTGGTCTAACCCAGGACCTACAGACGTACAGTTGTAAATGCTAACCACTGAGCCAACTAGGCGTAGTGGCTGGCATGTACAACTGTAGATCACCAAAGTCGTAGTGTTATTTTAGAATCAATTTAGATTTAATGTTATTATTTTTTGTAAATAAATAAATTTACTCATCATGCATTTAGAAAAGTCACATATTTGATCCTAATATACAATATATTTGTTTTATATAAAAGAAATATCTTCTGTGGTGTGGAATTTTATGTGACTTTGTCATCGTTAATTATAGCATGAAAACACGATTCCTAGAATTATAAATGTGAGTGTTAATTGGTTTAACTTGCACTCATACGTCAATTGAGTAAAGAATTAATATATTTTTTCCAAAGATAGTTTTATGGGACAGAATGTAGTATAGGCAAATCTTTATCCTAATAACATAAGGTAGTTCAAATACTACAGTTAGCTGATATATATGCTTAGATCACTAGACAATATGGAATATACATGTGATAAAAATAAAGGTAAAATATTTTGTTATAATCTTTATTACTTTTTAATTAAGCCTATATCAATATTTTTTAATGTTATTTCTTTTTGATTAAGAAAATAATTATTAAAAAATACAAATACAGGTGGGAAATTCAAGTAGTTGAACAGACCGAATATGACGTCAAAGTATTTTCATAACAAAGCGACTAGCGATTTTGTCGCTACAAACTAAAGTCGTCCTTTTTCTGTGTATATAATACTGTGACGTCACGCCAAGCGCGCAAAACGGTTGGCGTTTAAAGTATTCATATCGGTATAATATTTTTATTTTATTTTTTCATACTAAATTTTAGTTTTCTGGAGCTGGAGATTTTTTTTTTAATTATATAACAATGTTAGTTAATGTATAAAAAAATAAAAAAAAATTACGCATATTCCCTATTTCAATGTCATAACACCTTGTTCTTACTCTGAGTACAACAACTATCAATACATAAACCTTCAAGTCTTAAAAATTGTATTCATTTAAATTTCGAAGTTATGTATTAAAAGTATTTAAACTGCAGGTAATCATAATGTATTTAGAAAAAATAGTATACTTAATAGTAAAAGAAATGTATTAAAAATACAGCTTAATGAATAATATTATAATATGAAAATGTACCTTAAGTTCCTGGGAACCCTGTGAAGCATATGCATTAATAGCATATCCGCTCAATGTCCCTACTAGGTCTCTAGCTGCAGAATCGATATCATTCTTTACTTTGTACAAATCTCTTTCTGTGCTTGTTTGCAATTCAGAAAAGAATCGCTTCACAGAAACTACTTCTCGCCACAGGTTCAGTAAACGGTTATGCTCGTTGGAGTAGTAGTCATTGAAAGCCTGGAATCATAAAATTATAAATTAGTAAATATTAAATATGTTGGGGTATTAGCACACAGCACCATTTAGTTCCATGGTAAGCTACGAGGCTTGTGTTATGGATACCAGATAGGTGATACAATACACACATATATATATATATATATATATATATATATATATATATATATATATATATATCACTTTAAATACATACATATTATAAATATAAACACCCATGACAAACAATGAGCACAAATATTCATGCTCATCACACAAATGATTGCCCCCAACGGGACTCAAACCCGCGACCGCTGGCACAGCAAGTAGGGTCACTACAAACTAAGACAAATGTGTTGTTAAACAACATACAGAATTAAATAATAACTCAAACTTACTTTTCTGTACATAAGTTTAAGAGCAAGAGATTTTATATACCTAGCCATGATATGATGTTTCAATTACGTCAAATATTAGTTTCATAAAAATTACCCTTAGGGAGATTACTTAAAATAATAAAAAAATAATATACATAATCTATCATTGCCCACTAGTCAATGTAAACAAATATTTACCTGCTCTTCATCCTTCCATTCATCTTCTTTGATGGACATTTCATCTCTTAAAGCCTCCCAGTCATTTGTTAGCTTTTGAAGATCATTTGTGAGAGCCTCGTTAAGTTGGTGAGATTCTTCTAGCTGGTCCCTCAATAAATTATTTTGAGATACAAGCTTTTCACACCTGGTGAAAATATTTTAATATACATTTAAGCTACATTATTACTAAACAATTTATATTACAAAACAGTTTAAAAAAAATATTTTTAACATACCTTTAAATATGCTGATTACGATGATACACTACTGAATTACTTACTTGCGTTTTTCTTCATCAAGTCTACGCAACGCAGTTTCAAGATCCCCAATACGTTCATCCCGGCGTGTATCAGATGACGACGGATTAGTAAAAGCCGAAGGCGCCGGGGCTGGGAGCGCAATGCTCTTGCTCACTGGATTTCTGTACCCAGCTTCGCTGCGGGGTGTTGTTTCCTGCATTTGGTTCTCCAATTCGGAACATCGCTGTTTGTATTGTAGAACCTATTAATATTGTAAATTAATTAGAAGAAATCTTTAGAATAATACGGGTACATTAAAACTTGTTAAAGATTTAACCAGCAGTGAAAATACTAAGCGCTTTATCTTTTTTTGATGAACTTTAATTAATTCTTTAAACACATTGAATTCATTTTTAAGTTTTAACCTTTCATGTGTAAAAGTTTTCACTTGTTTTAAATTTGAAAATGGCATAAAATGATAGTGTCATTTAATTGACAGCTTAAAAAAAATAGATCCGTTCAGAAATCTTTCCAGTGAAATAAATATAAAGTCAACTATTCTTTCTACACAAAATAGAATATAATTAATAGATTTTAGATTTTTTGTTATAATTTTCACTAAATAATAGGTAGTTATTTTAAATAATATGTACCTTAGCTTGAAGCCGCGATACTAAAGCCGCCTGTCCCTGCTGTGCCCGGCGGTAAGCGTCTAGTCGGCGCTTATGATCAGCACTTTCGCCAGCAAGACGAGCGCGGAGCTCTTCGTTCTGCCGTCGTAAATCACTACTTACGCTCCCAACCGGAGAATCCATTTCTGGTGGACTTTCGGGAGACTTCTATAAAAATTAAATAGCTTGTTAAGTCTGTTTATGATGATATGACTTAGCGAATTATATTTAATTCGAAATACGTATATTATAGGTATGCTATAATATGTAAGATGATTATTTAATCTATTATTATAAAAATAACGTTAGCTACATCACCTACCTTTAACCTTGGGCTTGGTATTTTTTTTATTTTCACAAAGGATGTAATAAATGTGTAATACATGTGTGTTTTACCTCTTTTACCTCCTTTTTCAAACGTTGATGAGGCAAAATATTCCTTCGACCGAGGGGAGCGCGAGCACTCCTCGGCGTAGTCAAACCTTCCCTTGCTGGCAACTGAAAAAAAAACACATAGAAACCAAACTTCTTTCGAGAAAAAACAAATCTTTTCAATTACCTCAAATGTTACTTTCTTTTTAGTTTTCCTTTTATGTTTCACTTCAAAATAAGAATGGCGATAGTACTTCATTTCAAAAGACATAGCGAAACTTAAAAGTTAAATTGCATTTTTATCTCCAGATTTAATCTGTACTGAATAAAAAAGGTCGGAAAACAAAAGGAAGTCACGTCAGAAAGAGGTTTAAAGTATTTTTTGCAAGAAAACAATGAAAATTTGCCGAGCTAAAACCACAAACTAACGGAGTAGACTTCCGTAGGGTGGTATCATGGTGGTAGGGCATTCTGGATATCGGTCTAGATCTAATTACCGCCCACATTGCATTAATTGCAATACGAGGGTGAATGAACCCTCTAAATAATATTTTTATACAAAGTAATAAAATAATTACATATCGAGTCAAAAATAAAATATAGTGATCATATTTATTTATCTCTATTATTATAACTTTTACATTTATAACTTCAGTACCTAAATAAATAAATAAAATAAATTATATCCATAGATACAGAGAGTGGACTACGTATTTCTTGCCAGCCATCAGCTAAAAATGGCGGAAAGCGCGACAAAGACAAAACGAATGTGCGGCCAGAAGTCGTCTGTATTAATTGAAATACGATAAATGACGATAGATATTTATAAACATTTTGCATTCCATTACAATATTATAATTTTTTTATCATTCCATTTATAAATTATAAGGAATAAAAGACAGGTTTTAGCCGCACGTTGGCTTTCTCTCTTTCTAAAGAGTGCTCAATTCCGTGAGAGTTCAGTCCATTCTCTACGTCTATTTATAAGTCTAATCATATTTCAGAAAATATATAACATTGATTACTATTTATTAAAAAAAAAAAAAAAAACACTGTACCACGGTAAGTACTGCCCGTATCCTAGCAACGCAATCGGGATAGCGTCCAAACAATCTATAGGTAATTTTAACTTTTAAACTGTTTATACATTTAAGTAAAGTACAAATATTAATGTCTTCTGTGATATTATTAATGTACATTCATTTATTAGAATATGCAGGCTCTATGAACAAATACGTACAAATAATAATAGCATATTATTCTAGCTATATATTTAAAATGATTTCTAATTTGGACACTATTGTAGTTCGTAAAATAAATCTAATAATTTCTGCATTACTTGAACTGTACTTAATAAGCAGGTAACCTTATTTGAATAGATTTGTTTTAATTAAAATACAGTTTTTACCCACACTACTCTGAACGTTAACTCTTTTAAAAAAAATATTTGACATAAAATATACTTACGTGGTTTACTCTTAATCGTAAATTTTCATAGTATCACCGTGCTATGTATCTACAGTAAAAGTTATCACCAAGTAACACTCAAGCGCCTAACAATATTATGATAGCAACAATTAGTTAAATCAATATACAAATGTTAGTCATCGCTATATCTGATATCACATCCACGTATCACATTGATATTTTTTATTAGAAAACTTGAATGTTTATAGTTTTAGAAAAATGTACACAAGATTTGTAAAAAAATAATTTGCCTACTTAAATGAGAAATCAGATTTAAATGCTGAATTACGCAAATAGGTGTGTGATATGTTAGAGAAGGGTGGTAAGACTGCTAAAACTTTCATAATTTTTATGTTTGCTTTATCGTTCCGCGTGGTTGAACCCCCCAACACACAGGTACTGCGACTGCACCCCAATTTTATTGGTAACGATTGGTTTCTTCTTATAGGTATGTAATTCTATATTCCCTACTGATAGTGGTTATTTATTAGTATATTCCCATCGATCAAAGTACTATTGTGATCGATGGGGTATTTCTGATCCGTAAATAATTTACACTCGTAAATATTATCACCCGTATAAACTTTGTCATCCTTTTCAACCATTATATGTATTGGGTGAGATTTTAAAAAAAACCTAGCCGTTGTTTTATCTATAAAGGTTCAAACTAATAAGCCAATCTATACTGATATTATAAATAGGAATAATATATTTGATTTTTGTTTTTTTTTGTTTATGACTAAATAATACTGAACCGATTTAGATGAATATTGGTAAGATAGTTTGAGATCCTAGAAAGGACATAGCATAGTTTTTATCCCGGATATCATGCCTTAAGGGGTGAAAATGGGGATGAAAGTTTGTATGGGGAATCAACCTAGGGTCGAACCAGAGCAAAGCGGGGGTGAGTCGCTAGTTCTTAATATTCTTTTACTAGTATTGTACAGTACTATCTACTTATTAGCAGTATTTTATGTAAAGTTTATTATATTTGTTCATTCCCTATAACTTATAATAAACACAAAAATGGCAATCAAATGAGTTGAGATTCTATACTTGTTACGTCAATGCGTACGCCTCGAAGTGTGAGGTCACTGACCGATATCACGATTTGCATGATAATCGATATCACATATGATTTTCCTATAGTGAATATATATGAGATTTTCTAGTATTTAATGAATATTTGAAGCATACTAGATTATATAAACTATTGTTAGTTTCAGGAATAATTTTTTTTATTATTATTAAATAAGGCTTACCAACTAGAGTACATACACAAATTACTTTTTTGTATATAACTCTAAATTACAGGCATGCACAACATTTTATAATTAGGTAATACATACACTCTACTTAAATGACAATAATATTAAAAATATAAATGAAATGTAACATTAAATGATATGTTTAAGATTTATTTTAAAATTGTACATTGTATTTGAAAATATATCTATAACAGGATACTTGCGAGAGATTTCATTATAGTTTATTAAAATTTTGTTTAAAGGTGAGTTTTGTCCGAATCTATTTTGTCTTAAACTAATGTAAAAGGTTGATTATTTTGACAAATAAAATCTATAGGTAAATACTTAGCCGAATCTGTACTATAAATATTTTTTTGGGAAATCTTATTGAAATAATTATTATCGATACAGAGGCTGAATTTATAGTTTTTAGAATTTTTGTCTGTTCGTCTGTTTATCTGTCTGTGACCGCATCACAAGAAAGCCACTGGACAGATTTTGATGAATTTTGGTATAATGGTAGCGGGTTATCTAGGTCAACATATAGGATACTTTTACTGCGGAAAAATATCTCATCTCTAAGAAATCTATACTTAACGTTAAAGTTTATATCATAAAATAAAGCTCGTGGAAAACGAAATGCTTTACCTTCCAACTCCTCTTTACTGTGTTTAGTATATGTAAATAAAATATATAAAAACTTAGTGATGATGATGATGTTCTCCTAGCCGATTCCGGCCACGGCGGCCAATCTCAATGAGATTAGCCAACTGCGCAGGAGATATTATAGTGCTCGAGTGTACGCGCAGACACAAGTGCACTCTCTATTCCTATCGCTCTCATACTCCGGTGGGACGACCACTCGACACGACCGGTGAGAGTTAAGGCGCAGGACCGACGGCTTTACGTGCTCTCCGAGGCACGGGGGTGAAACACCGCCAACTTCCCAACTCCGGGCTGTTACTGAGACCTACTATACAGAAAGACTCAATAACTAAACTTGGCCCGACCCGGGACTCGAACCCAGGACCTCCGGGTGTGCAGCCGTACATGCTAGCCACTACACCACCGAGGCAGTTAAAACTTAGTACTTAGTCTATGTAATATATACTAAATGTCACCTAAAGTCCATTCGTTTAATCGCGAAGGAATAACAAGCATATATTATTAAAGTATTCCTGTAGTAGGTACTAGCGGCTCATCCTCGCTTCGCTCGTGTTGGCCTCTATCCCACGGGAACCGTTCATTTTTCCGGGATAAAAAGTAACCTGTTGTTTGATCGGCAATATAAGGTATCAGCGTGCCAAATTTTACTAAATTAGGTGTATAAGTTGTTGTGTACTAAGCTGTACCTATAAGTTTCTATAGTTTTTTTAACTATCCCACGGGAACTCTTTAATTTTTCGGGATAAAAGTATCTAAAAATATTGACCGGGGATATAAGGTACATGCAAAATTTCATTTAAATCGGTCGAACAGTTTCGGAGATTAGCCCGTACAAACAGACAAACAGACAGAGAAACAAAAAAAAATGAAAAATCTGGATTTGTTCTATTTCTCTCGGATAATCTCGGAGGACTCGGTTTTTAGCCTTTTTTTCTATGTACAGACATTCGACCTCTACAGTTTTATTTATGTATAGATATAGACTATAGTTTGTAGATGCTATGTAATTAAAGTAGATACCAATAATTGACATAAATCAGAATAAATTATTGCTTTGTTTCAATCACAGAAATCTTAATAATATTACCTTATTATTAAGATTTCTGTGGTTTCAATGGATAAGTTTCATGATGTTGTTAATATCATATTTAACGCAATGGAATTGTAATAAAGATAAAACTAATAAATCTGTGAGAAAAAGTTTAAAATCTATCAATAAATGACTGAAAAATTAATGTAACTTTCAGTCGTTCAAGTCGTGTGACGTCACGAAATTATTCTTACAAGCGCAACTTTAGTTTCATAACTTTTTTATTTGTTGAGATATTTTAATAATTATTTTATATATATATTATTTCCACATCATTTTCTATGTATTTTTTTTATTACTTTTTTTTAGTGCAATAAAGAATATATTATGTTTTTGTTATATTTTACTTAAATTTTTATAATTAATATATAAAAAAATGAAAACTTCTCCAATAACACTATATGAATTCTATATTTATTTAAGAAAATTATGTTACATCGTCGATTTAGGTACAAATACGTGTGTATTTTAATACAGTTCCCTAAACTGGGACCTCCTACCAAATATTTTCTAATATATTTTGTTCGAATCCTTATAAAACATTAGTGTATTTTTAGGCAAAATCAATTAAAATCCGAGGGACTAATGATTTTTTATGTCAATTTCAGGCTAATGTACCTATGTAAGATGAACTTAACTTGATCAAGGATGCGCCATAAATCATCATAAAATATGTTAAAAATATATTTAAATATAATGCTTTGTCGTCCTATAAATAAATTAAATAATTGGAATACCATTAGTTAATGAGTATATTAAATTCTTTTTCATATTGTGATGTATTAATGCAAGGCAATAGTAGCCCAGAGGTGGGGTAACGCGCTGGCTTGTGAAACCGAGTGAAGCGCGTTCAAATCCCGGCTCTCACACCTCTGATATTATTCTGAGCGAATCATTTCCAACATGAGTATCACTTTTCTTAAGGTGAAGTAAAACACAGTGAGGAAACCTGCATGTCTGAGAGAACCTAGCAACTTTTCGAAAGAC